AAATACAGTATATAGAGCAGTTGTCCCACACTTCCATAACCCCACAAACCTTGTGTTCTTATGCGTGTCGTTATATTAAATATCTCAATATATATATTCATTAAACGGTGAGGACATTAATAGTTTTCTGCGTGCGTTGAATCGTGAGAAAAATCTGTGTTAGTGTTATTTTTCTCACGATTCAACGATTTTTCTTCCGTTGTAAAGTTGTTGAAAACTTTCGCACGCAGAAAACTATAATATGAACAGACGAGAGAGCGGACAGCTTCAGTTGAACGTTTAAATCGCTAAATGTCGAAGAAGGGGCATCGATTATTTATACCAAAATCGGCCCGACAAATCGCAGCGTGTAAACGTAGCTTAAACGTACCTTTATAATATAATATTTATTTTTTACTAGCCTTCGACTGTCAGTCTACAGTCTTCAGCGCAATTACATATACGGTATACACAATGTCAATGACGTAAATGACAGCTATGCAAGATTAAAGGCCGTTTTCTACTAGGCGGAATTTTCCGCGCGTAACGGAATGTCTTTTCCAATTTTATATCAATCTCGTACCCAGAGCAATGCCTGTACGCGGGCTAGGGCGAGATTGATTTTATATCACAAGACAGACTTTGCAGACTTTGGCCGCGCGGGCGGAGCGGGTTTTGAAAAGCTGCTCACGCGGGCATGACGGGCGTCAAAAACAATGAACGCTTCGCCCGCGCGGGCAAAGCGGACGTTTAATAATGGAAACGAGAATGATTAATGTTTGTTGTTGATACGAAAGGAGCGCAAGACTTTTTTCCCAATATATTTCGCGGCAGGATGTTTTTTTTGCCTCTCATAATAACGGCTTTCATATAGCTATCGTCAGAGACGTAGCCGGGGTTTTCAGTCAGAGAAGGCCGAGAACTGAATCCCAAGAGGGGCCAAGGAATTTTCACTGTGTTTTATTTTATATCGTTATGTCTTAATGTTCCCCACACTAAAGCGTGCAGGTTTACTTACAAAAAATGTATAACTGCACCAAAACCTAAAACATGCAGGGATAGAGTAGAGTACTCGAAAATGGGGGAGGTACAGTATATGAATGACCTGTAACCTTGGGGCCGGTTCGGGGGCATGCTTCCCCGAGAAAACGTTAAAATTTGAACCTCTGAATTCGGAAATGCTATTCCCTGACCCCTCTTCCCTGCATTTTCAGCCATGCAGGGGCGTATAGGAAGCAAAAAGCTAGGGGGGGAGCACTTCTGGAATGAAAAGGGCACCTAAAAATTGTTCACGGAAATGTTGGCGACGGGGAGGGGGGTAGGGAAGGAAAACAAAATGCAATCATAAATCAAAGGGCCTTGAGGCCGACTCTCGGATAAGATCAAATGAAAGTGACAGAAAGAATTAAAGCAGTTTGCAGTTGTTATTGCAAACGAACACCGTGCAAATGTTGCCTTTGTCGTGCTCCAGCCCGATTTCTGGTTCGGAAAGACCCGATTCGCAGACAAACAGTGCGCTAGCAGCAGGCTTGTCATTTCTCATCGTTTAACTGCCTCACACTCAGGTAACCACAAAGACTCAACAGATATTGCTTTGCAACATCTGTGAGTTAAAAATGCAATCTGAACAACATTTTTCACAAAGGCAAAGGGTACTTTGCCACCGGAAAAAGGTC